AGTGGTGGCTCAGATGCTCCCTGGGGTTCTTCATGACCTGCTACAGATATGACCAGTTTTCAGCCTCCTTGTGTCCCATAAGTGCTGGGTAAGAGGGTTCATGATCTGGAAAGAAAATATTCTGGGATAAATGTGTCTGTTTTGGGGTTGGGCGGGGATGTATCTCACAGCTACTCAGCTGTTCACCATGAAATACCATGACATAGAAGCATTGCTTCAGAAATATGAAGACTCACCTGCTATGTTCAGCCCCTAAGCCCATCTTTCTGTGATGTGTTGTTGATTCAGGACTTGGGTATGAAACCTGACCTTTATTTTTCTGTTACACAACAACACAGAAATCAGACATTGAAACACCTCATTGACATATTCAGAAGCATGGAAGTACTTTTGTGCTTTTTAAAATTAATTAGATGTCACCACACAGATTATGACTCAGGGCACCCAAATTTCATTTATAATCTTGCTGCCTCCATGAAGGGACGGGACTGCAGTTGCTGGCAGATATGGGAGACGGAGCAATCTGGGAACTCAGTTTCTCATTGTGGACCTTGGAGCTGTCTCATGAACATAATTATCCCACATGCAGGAGTATTTTCACAGCTATATTATGTTTAATATGTAATAATTAGCTTTAAAATTAATGTGGAACTTAATATCCATTGAGGAATTGTTATTTGTAAGGTATTACTCTAAATGTTTTCTTATTTATTTAATCATCTCAACAACAGTGATGTGAGGTGGCTGTAATGATGATCTCCATTTGGCATTGAGGACAGTGGCAAAGAGAAGTGACTCATTCAAAGACCCACATCTGGGAGACAGGAGAAGTCAGATAAGTAACAGTTACGCACTAAGGAAAGTCTAATAAAATGATATAAAAAAAGGAAAGTAAAAGACACCCATTCTATACTTTTACTTTGTTTCTCTCCCTACTTCTTTATGAATAGACATAGGATTACTTAGTATTATCTATAATAATAAAAGCATAATATGCTAATTAGACCGGATATCCTTACGAATGAATCAGGCTGTGAGGAAAGCCCAGGTCTTGGGTGCCAGCAGGAAGCAGGTGCCGGCAGCTGGGAGAAGAAAGGCTTCCTCTTGCACGAATTTTGTGCATCAGGCCTCTAGTATATAAATAAACATTTTAAAGTAGGATTTGAATATTTGTCTTTATATTCTTTTCTTTTGGCTAACTTATTTTCATCAATATGGAGGTCTTTCAATAATCAATGTGAGTATTATAAAATGATCAAAGATCATTTAACACCTTCCTATGCCACTTAACCCTATCAGACATTTGTTAGCTTACCTGAACTTCGTATCTCTCTTTGCACATATGTTCCTTGCCTGTATTTGTATCTTTTTCTTTTTTCAGAGAGGAAAGGAGAGGTAGGGTGAGATAGAAAAATCAATGATAAGAGAGAATCGATCGGCTGCCTCCTGCACGATCTCTAAGCGGATCAAGCCCACAACAAGAATGTGTGCCCTGACTGGGAATCAAAACCTGACCTCCTGGTTCATAGGTCAATGCTCAATCACTGAGCCATGTCACAGGACTATATGTATGTTTTAGAGCTATTCAGAGGCTTCCATTATAACATTACATTACAACCAAACACTCAAATATTAGTACCTGATGCATCGAGTCTTCAATGATGTCATGAAGTCTTATTAGTATTATTAACAAACAAGAGAAAATTACTTTGTTAAGTATTTTTATGATAAAACCATATGAGCTCATTTAACAAAATATGTAAAGCTAATTAAACTGCATAGAAGAAACAAAGCCATCTAGTCCCTCAGTAATAATAATTCTAACAGTTTTGGAGAATTCCCTTCCCTCTTTTATTCTTTTTCTATCAATACAGTTTTATTGTTGAGAGGTTACTATACACTCATTAATTTTTCCTTATATTATATTGTGAATATTTATAATTTTTACTAATCAATCCATAATCATGGTTTTCAATGTCTGCATAATAGTCTATCCATTGAGTGCAATGTATTTCTGGTGTCTCTATCCCTGTTATTCACCGCTTAGTCTGACATATAAAAAGCTGCTGGAGAGTTTTCTTCTCAGCTCTGAGCACAGGAGTGTCTCACTGTCAGCACGTCACCACTGCTCTCGGAGGCCCTTTGGGGACTACATGAGACAGCCATGTGAAGAAGGTAGTAGCAGCATGTTGACAAGCTTGTCTGTACTTTCCTGCTGAAAGGGCTCATGTTCTCAGATTCTTTGTGTTTCTCTCAGGTCTTTCCCTTTCACTTTTCTCCTATTAAATGTTTAGATTAATTATTAGCTGTTCTTTCCCTTGGCCCATTAGTAAGGCCTTATGTAGGTTCAAGAATCTATTGTGGTGCACACTGGGAGAACATGGTGGTCAGGAATCTCAGGGACAGGATGGACTCACAAGAGGCTGCGTGCATCAGAGGTGGAGGAGCAGGGCTGAGAGGCTGATTCCATGTCAGCCTTCCCTGTCGATCTTTGTCTTTCATCCAATGGCTTCCTTGCATTAAGAACTAGAACCAGGGTCCTTAGAAGAGGAGGTGGTGTGGATGCATGTGTTGCCACCACCTTAGAAATGATAAAATAAATAAAGGATTATGTATGTCATAGAGCCAAGGTGACATCCATATTCTTTCTGTGGGGGCCCAGGATGTACTGGATAAGAAGAATGCATGCATTAAAGTGCAGTCATTTGTTTCACAATTATTTCAGAGGTGCATTATGAAATGATAAAATTTTTATTTTATATTTTAATAAACAAATTGATAACTTACTGACATTTTTTGTATTCTGTGAAGACTCCAGATCACTCCAATCCTGGTCACATGATTCAGTATAAAATAGTACACTTTGTCAGCAAATGTTTCACCAAGGTTAGTTTTGTTTTCTCCACGGGTGTTGGAACAATGCACAGCACTTCTTTTATCCTCTTATGATCTAGGGGTCAGACTCTGGAGCTAGATTAGATGGGTCCAACCCTACTTTGCTTCATATCAGCTGTGTGTCTTGATAGGTTGCTGGGATACAGAATAAATATTTCAATTACCTCATGAGTAAAATGGGGCTCATAGTAATAATGGAAGAGACCTCATAGTAAGAAAGGAAGGTTGAAGAAGTTCATATGTACAAAGAACCGAGGACACTAACAGAGATCTCTCTGACAACAGCAGATTATTAGCTGTTCTTTCCCTTGACCCATTCTCAGTCTGATTGCATAAGCAGAATCAAGGGTTACTCACAGTAGGGTAGGCTCTCCTAATGGCCCCAATGGCTCTGACCTCCTTTCTGCTGACATCATGTTCTTACAGCCATGAATGTGAAGTGAGGAACTATCTTCCTCCTCCCCCAGGAATAGGATACTTGCTCCATCCCAGATTTACCTTGAGTATTTTGCTTGTTATAGAATTGTGATGTTTATGTTTCCAAGGAAGTCACATGGTCCAGTTAAAAACACATAGACTTTTGTCTTTGATAAAACACTTTAATTCTCAGAGCTTTACTGTCTTTATCTGCAAAATGGGCAAATAATGGTTTTATTTCTGGGGTGTGATGATAATTATATGTGGTAATGTGTATGTACCATATCTAGGCATGCTGGTGCACAATGATTCCTCTCTCAACCTGAGTCACTCTGTTAGTGGAGGTCTTTGGATAATGATATGGTCAATAGAGCCTGTGTCTACTCATTCCACGATGAGACTTTAATTCATAAGGAAGTAGTTTAAATGAAGATTTGAGAACATCATGGTCGGAGATGCCTTCTGCTCAAGGTGGGGCCTAATGTGTGAGGAACACAGTTGGCTTCCTGGGAACTCAGAGGTGCAGCAGAGAAGGCGAGGTGGAGGCTGGAAGCCCAGGCAGGCGTTAGTTGTGTTTGCACCTTGAAGGAAGGCTGGGTGGGGCACACACCCGGAAGAGGCTGTTGTTGGGCAACTTGGCAACTCTGGTGCTGTGGGTCCCACCAGCACAGTAGTCAATGCCCACATGTTTGACTATGAAGTTTATGGTCAGGGCTGAAGTAGATTTTTGAAAACTTTTTCTTGCCTCAAATCTGTTGCTTTTCTTAGCTAAGTGAACTGGAGCAGGGGGTTTTGTTGAGATGATTAACTTCAAATGTGTCATAATTTGGTTTGGTTTCTATTGATACAGTCTATAACTGTATTGTCAAAGGCTTCAGTGGACATCATACAAGAAATGAGCCCTTTTTCAACTGTTCTGAAAATTGACATCTTAGGTGGATCCAGCTGTAACTGCCCATGTCCAGTTGCAAACAAAAAGTGGAAATTCTCATGAACATCTGACATAGAGACAGGAAACAATGAGAAATCTCTTTCAACTCTCATCCATGTTGATATAATTGAGAAACAGCTCACAAGCTTAGAGTGAGAAAAAGATGAATGTTTCCACAGTGACATCCTGCTGTCTACCAGACTGTGTCACCAAGGAGGAGGCAGGAAAGTGAGGACTCAGGCTGTCCAGGTCAGTGTGGGAAGGGGAAGCAAATCAGGTGTTCCATTGAGATTTCTGAAGTCAGCATTTGCTTTCCACTTTCTTCTTTTTAAATATAAATTTTTATTGACTTCAGAGAGGAATGGAGAGGGAGAGAGATAGAAACATCAATGATGAGAGAGAATAATTTATAGGCTGCCTCCTGCACTCCCTACACTGGGAATTGAGCCGCAACCAGTGCATGTGCCCTGACCAGGAATCAAACCACGTCCTCCTAGGTCATAGGTCAACACTAAACCACTGAGCCATGCTGGGTGGGCTTTCTTTACACATTCTAGCTAAGTTCCTGGTCCCAGCAGTTGGTTACAAACAACATAGTACAGGACTCAAGTTCCATGGGGAGGGAGGCTCAGGCTGGTGCCCAGCTGTGCAGCCTCTGTAGTTGCTCATTGAGAGAAGGATGTGGGTGGGCACAGACTGATGATGGTTCTTGTACAGATGATCCTGGCAACCCTAACGCTGTGTATGCCAGTCCAGCAGGCACAGAAGTACACGGCCTCATCTTCTTTTTCTAAGAAATTTATTGTCAAGGTAGAAGTTGAAGTTTGTGGATATTTACTTGCCTTAAATTTGCTGTTCTTCCCAAAAACAGTGGCTGTGGAGGCCACGTATATTAAATGTTCTATACCCTGATCTGGTTTCTGCCGGTACCAGTGAATGTAATCTTTGCTAAAGGTGCCAGAGGACACCTTACAAGGTATCTGGGCACTCTCATCCCTTGCACTGGAAATGGATATTTCAGGTTGCTCCAATTTTAACTGCCCAAGGCCAACTGCAAGCAAAAATAAAATAAAAATAAACTTCCATGAACAAATGACATGTAAAGAAGTAACAATAAAGAATTTCTTGGGTCTGTCTGGTAGACTGAAATGATGGGGACAACTCACAGGCCCAGAGGGAGAGGAAGATGACTGCTTCCAGTGGTGGCATCCTGTGCACCAAGCAGCTCCCAGGGAGAAGGTCAGACACTGAGGTCCCTGTTAGCAGACCAGTGGCAGGGGGCGGGGCTGGTTCTGGTTTCTCAGAAGAAGTGGTGGCTCAGATGCTCCCTGGGGTTCTTCATGACCTGCTACAGATATGACCAGTTCTGGGGCTCCCTGTGCCCCATAAGAGCTGGGTAAGGGGGTTCATGATCTGGAAAGGAAATATTTTGTGAAAAACCTGTCAGTCTTGGGGTTGGTCAGGGATGGTTCTCATAGCCACTCAACTGTTCCCCATGAACTACCATGTCATGGAAACATTGCTTCAGAAATATGAAGACTCACCTGCTATGTTCAGCCCCTCCCTAAACCCATCTTTCTGTGAAGTGCTGTTGATTCAGGACTTGGGTATGAAGCTTGACCTTTATTTTTCTGTTACACAACAACATAGAAATCAGACACTGAAATGCCTCATTGACATTATTTAAGACACCATATTCAGAAGCATGGAAGTACTTTTGTGCTTTTAAAAATCAATTGAGGTGTCAGCACACAGATTATGACTCAGGTCTTCCAAATTTCATTTATTATCTGGGTGCCTCCATGAAGAGACTGGACTGCAGTGGCTGGCTGATATGGGAGACGGAGCAATTTGTAGAACTCAGCCTCTCATTTCTGGAACTTGGAGCTGCTTCATGAACATAATTATCCCATATGCAAGAGTATTTTCAAAGCTATATTATGTTTAATGTGTAATAATAAGTTTTAAAATTAATGTGGCATTTAATAACCATTGAGGAATTGTTATTTGTAAGGCATTTTTCTAAATGTTTACTTACTTATTCAATCCTCTCAGCAACAGTGCTGTGAGGTAGCTCTTATGATGATCTCCATTTGGCATTGAGGACAGTGGCAAAGAGAAGTGACTAATTCAATGACCCAGATCTGGGAGACAGGAGAAGTCAGATAAGTAACAGTTGCTCATTAAAGAAAGTCTGAGTAAAAATATATAAAAAAATGACAGTAAAAGGCACCCATTTTATACTTTGTATTTCTCTACTTATTTATGAACTAGAGGCCCAATGCATGAAATTTGTGCACGGGGTGGGTGGGGGAGGTGGCCCTTAGCCTAGCCTGCACCCTCTTGCAATCCGGGACCTCTCAGGGGATGCCCGACTGCTGGGATCAGGCCTAAACTGGCTGTCGGACATCCCTCTCTCAATTCGGGACTGCTGGCTCCTAACCACTTGCCCGATTTTCTGACTGATCACCCCTAACCACTCTTCCTGCCTGCCTGATTGCCCCTAACCCCTCTGTCTGCCTGCCTGATCACCCCTAACTGCTTCCATTATAACATTACATGAGGGTAATGCACCAAACACTCAAATATTAGGACCTGGCCAATCATAAGCCTTCAACGATATCATGAAGTCTTGTTAGTATTGTTATCAAACAAGTGATAATTACTTTGTTAAATATTTTTACTGTAAAACCATATTAGCTCATTTAAAAAAAGATGTAAAGTTAATCAAAGTACATAGAAAAATAAAGCCATCTAGTCCTTCAGAAATAATCATTCTCACAATATTGGAGGATTCACTTCCCCTTTTATTATAATTCTGTCAATACAAACAATTTTATTGTTAAGAGGTTATTGTACACTCATTAATTTTTCTTTATGTTATATTGTAAATATTTTTGAATTTTAGTAATCAATCCATAAAACATTGTTTTCAAAGGCTGAATAATATTCTGTCCTTGAGTGCAATGTAAATATGGTGTCTCTATCCCTGTTATTCACCACTTAGTCTGACATATAAAAAGCTGCTGGAGAGTTTTCTTCTCAGCTCTGAGCACAGGAGTGTCTCACTGTCAGCACCTCACCACTGCTCTCGGAGGCCCTTTGGGGACTACATGAGACAGCCATGTGAAGGAGGTAGCAGCGGTATGTTGACAAGCTTGTCTGTACTTACCTGCTGAAAAGGGCTCATGTTCTCAGATTCTTTGTGTTTCTCTCAGGTCTTTCCCTTTCCCTTTTCTCCTATTAAAAGTTTAGATAATCAGTAAGGCCTTACATAGGTTTAAGAAATCTATTGTGGTGCACACTGAGAGAACATGATGGTCAGGAATCCCAGGCACAGGATGGACTCACAACAGGCTGCGTGCATCAGAGGTGGAGGAGCAAGGCCGAGAGGCTGATTCCATGTCAGCCTTTCTTGATCTCCATCTTTCATGCAATGACTTCCCTTCATCGAGAACTAGAACCAGGGTCCTTAGAAGAGGACGTGGTGTGGATGCATATGTTGCCATGATCTTAGAAATTATCAAATGGATAAAGGAGTGTGTATGCCACAGAGGCAAGGTGATGTCCATATTCTTTCTGTGAGTGCCCAGGATGTACTGTATATGAAGAATGCATGGATTAAAGGGCAGGCATCTGTTTCACAATTATTTCAGAGGTGCATTATGAAAGGATAAAATTTTTATTTTATATTTTAAAAACAAACTGATAACTTATTGACATTTTATGTGTTCTGTGAAGACGCCAGATCACTCCAATCCTGGTCACATGATTAAGTGCAAAGTAGTAGATTGTGTCAGCAAATGTTTCACTAAAGTCAGTTTTGTTTTCTCCATGGGTGTAGGAACAATGCACAACACTTCTTTCATCCTGTTATCATCTAGAGGTCAGACTCTGGAGCTAGATTACATGAGTCTAATCCTACTTTGAGAATTTGTTGATACTTCTGTAAAAGTTTTCTTGTATTATTTTATTTATACAACATACTAGAGGCCCGATGAATGAAGATTTGTGCAAGAATGGGCCTTCCTTCCCCTGGCTGCTGGCACCACCTTTGCTCCAGCCGGAGCCGCCTTTCCGCCTTCCCATGCTGCCTAGAGGCCTGGAGCAGCGCATGCGTCCTGCCCCGCCCCCAACAGCTTGGCGCCTGCATATGCAAATTAACCTGCCATCTTTGTTGGGTTAATTTGCATACTCACGCCTGATTGGCTGGTGGGTGTCACGAAGGTACAGTCAATTTGCATCTTTCTCTTTTATTAGTGTAGATATCAGTCTTGAGAGGTAGTGGTATTATTATCTCCCTCTGACCATGGCAGGAAGGTGGACAGGTGAGCGGAGGTGCCAGACCAAGGTGGGGCACTGGTCGCTGGCATTTGGGCTAGCCTCTGTTGGTTACTGAAAATTTTTTGCTCCTATGCTCCACTGTCCCGCCTAGCTTTCGCGCCTGCTGCCAGCAATGGCCCACTCGCATTTGCTGCCAGTGCCCGGCGCTGGCCCTGATCGCTCGGTGCTGTAAGCGGGTGCGTGTGGTGACTGCTGGCCCCAATCACCACTCAGGGCTTCTCCACCTCCCCCTGCTCCTGAGGGGCAATCCAGGCTGGCAGCCACCGTTTGCACCCGCTGCCAGTGACGGCCCTGCTCACACCCGCTGCCAGCACTGGAGCCGCTGCTTGCACCCGCTGCCAGCGCCTGGTGCCTGACTCAATTGCTCAGTACCATCAGTGGGTGTGAGTGGTGGCTGTCAGCCCTGATTGCCCCTGAGTGTTTGTCCACCTCCCCCTGATCCTGAGGGGTGATTGGGTCAGCAGCTGCTGCTCACAATCACTGATGGCACTGTCCCCACTCACACCCACTGCTGGTGCTGGCCCCAATCACTCCGCGCCGTCAGGGGGTGCGAGCATGGCTGGTACCGTCAGTGCAGGAGCGGGGCTGCTGGCAGACAGGGGACAGGGGGCTGCAGTGGAAGAGGCCATGCGGGGGTGCGGAGGATTGGCCAAGACCCACCCCTGTGCCCACCACATCCTCTGGGCCCACAGTTCCTTTCAAGGTGCACGAATTTGTGCACTGGGCCCTAGTGTGATAATAATGGCTCCAGCCATCCCTTCCCCTCTCAACCTGAAACTGGGTGGTGAGACGATGGACAGTGGCACAGACTGTGCTCTCAGTCCCCAGACAAGACTTTAATTAGTTGGGACATAGTGTCAAATGAAGCTTTGGAAGCACAATTCCTGGCATCAGCTGGAAGCAGATGTGCAAGCATAAGCCAACGTGGCTTCCTGGAAGCTGAGGAAGAGCTGCAGACAAGGTGAGGCCGAGGCCAGGAGCCCAGCTGGGGAGGCGGGGGCTGGTTGCAGTTGCCACTGTTGGGAAGGATGTGGGTGGGCACGAATCCAAGGCGGGGATCCGGTGTGAGTTGTCTCCACAGTTCTAGTACTGTGAGTCCTACCCACAGAGGACTGTGTGTACCACCCAGCACAGTAGTAAGTACCCGTATCTTCTTTTCCTATGAAATATATGCGGAGGGTTGAAGTGAGAAGCTGAGAATTCTTTCTTGCCTCAACTTTGTTTCTCTTTCCATCTACATGGCTTATAGCAGGGCTTTTTGTGGAGCTCACATAAATCAGACGCTCCAAAGCCTGATTCGGTTTCTGTCGGTACCAGTGAATGATGTCCTTTTCAAAATTGGTGCTTGTAATCTTGCAATCTATGTCAATAATTTCCCCCACTTCTGTGGTAATGGATAGCTGGGACTGCTTCAATGTAGATAACCCAAGGCCAACTGTATGCAAAAGAAGAGAATTTCCAATGAACTTCTGATAACATAAGAAACATTAAAGAATTTCTTTGCTCACTCATCTAGACTGAAATGGTCAAGGAGTGTGACTCACGAGCCCAGAAGGACAAGAAGGTGGAAGCTTCCAGCAGTGGCATCCTGTGGACAGGCGGTGTCCTCCAAGAGAAGGCAGAAAGTGGAGACCTGGGGGCAGGGCACCTCAAGTCAGTGGCAAGTGGGTGTGGCCTAACTGGGGAGAGAAAAGGAAGTGGTGGGTCAGGCAGGACTT